AATGTGTATGAATTGTTGAATGGAAACTGACTTGCTCTATAAACCATCATCCAATTCACAATAAAAAGTAAAACTAAAAACATTAAGGAAACAAAAACAACTCCAACCCCCTGTGAAGCACAGTTCTACTCCGACACACGAGCACCATGAGTCAGCGTCACCTCGATGGCAAATGGTTAGAGACGGAGAATCTCAGAGGGCGTGGCTTCAAAACCACCCCAGCACCTCCCGCACCCTCTCCTGGGGAAGCCAGCCAACTCAACAGAATTCACGCCCCTTTGACACCGAAGACAACAGGCTCTCTCCCTGTTTTAGGGTACACTCACATGGTAGTGCCTTCTTATGCAGAAATGTCCATTCATTCCACAAATGCTTTTACTCTCCACCTACTATATGCCCAGCTAATTCAAGTGTTTTCATTTTTATGCTTTATGATAGGTACTTTCATACCATTACCAGACAGGTCTACTGATATCTATGATGTTGAGAGGCTCCTAAAATTGGGAAGGGCATGGTTTTGTTTTTTTTATGTTATCACTTAGCCATCTTTGATAATCATCAAATTTCACCCTCTCTTCTTTGTAGCCATGTTTGTCTAGGTCAATGGGAGAAAGATTTTTTTTTCTTAAAATTTACCATGACTTAACTGAAAATTCTAATTTTAAAGAAACATGAACGCAACTTGCCAAAGCACAAAGAGCAGAATGTGCTGTGTTTATTCTCGCACAAATGTGTAACTGGTGACCACTAATGGTAATATCTAAGACATCACTGGCGAGACACAAACCTTAGTCTTCAAACCGCTATAGAGTGATCCGGTTTAAGAATTATTCAGAAGTCAAAGGAACCTTTTTACCCACCATGTGTGTTAATCTTGACTCATGTTCCTATCAATGAAAATGCTGATGCCAGCGAGGCTCTCCAGGATGACGTCTTGTGTCCTCATCCTCAGCTGCTGAATATTCTTTCTTTCTAGCCATGTGCACCAAAAGCAATTCACTCAGTTTTTGAACACAGTAGGCACATTCTACTGTTTTGTTTGTTATTCTGCACAAAGCCTATCCCATTTTCATTAACCAAGGGGTAGACTATGTATAGCTTTGCTAAAAAAAAAAAAATCAACCACACAACACATTTCAGTTGTCTCATTGAGCTTCTGTCTGATTGCAGAAATAGATGTTTAAACAAACCAAAGACAAAGGTATGGATAATCTAATTTATGACATCTCACCAAGTCTTTGGAATTACAGTGACAGAATCCAAAATGTTTCACCAAAAACTCACTGCCATTGAGTTGATGCCAGCTCATTATTACACTACGGCACAGGGCATATGTGCCCCCTGTGAGTTTCTGAGATTGTTTACAGGCGTGGAAGGCCCTGTCTTTCTTTCCAAGAGAGAAACCACACCTGGTGTGGTTTCAAATTGCTGACCTTTCACTTAGCAGTCCAACAAGTTCGTGTGGTAAAAAAATGAAGGAACAACAAAAATTCACAGGAAAGACAAAAGCCATGTTTGTATTAATGAGAATGTTAATGCTCTAAGGAGAGAATTTGATCTATTCTCTGGTCTATTTCTGTAGGAAAATATCTCCCCTGCTTCCTACTCTTAATGAATTGTCCTCACGGTATCCATTGGTGACCCAAGGTGCTTACCAGGTAAGGCTATAAATGAGAAACAGCTGACGCTGCCTGCTATTTATGTAAGTCATCTATTCAATAGGACTTTCTGTCTGATGGCTACCTGGAAGATTAGTGGTAACAAAGCTTCATGTTTCTTGGACCAGAATGACCAATTCTTCACTACAGGTGGTTTGTTGAGAATCATTAAAAATACTGTGAGCAGTAATTCTAACTTTCATAGGTATCCACACAAACACATGATCAGAGCATTGTTGGTTGGTGTCCAGACTGACCTTCTGGTTGGTATTGTGCTATAATGGTCACCGTCTGGCCAGCCCCCTTGAGGGCAGCAGCTGCCTGCTCATGGGAAGCTCCGCGGAGGTCAATGCCATTCACCTGAAATGGAAAACAGAGACTGTTGGTATTTCATGGAGCGTATCACTGAGAGAAGAAGAAGGTTCCTATCGTTGCAGGGCAGTCTACGATTAGACCACATGCCTCAAACTTTGTGTCTTAGCAAGTTTCCTGGTTCCAACGAGTTTTAGCTCGCAGAGGTGTGAGGGTTCCTCTGGCACGGCTCATGCATGATATGACCAGGTGGGAAACTTTATCTCTGTCCACTAGGACTTTAGTGTGTGCACTGAATTGGATTCTTTGGGTTTCCTAGATTTCTTAAGCAGACAGGAACTTCAAAATTAGAAGGGCAGCAGAATAATAAAGAGAGAGACATGTAATATATGTGGATGAGGGTACTGACAGACTAATATATTCATATGATATTCTGGGGAGCCTGCAAGGAATGGGTCTGGCTGCCTGCCAAATCCCTCCCTTTGGTCAACTGCCTGGTCCTGTCATCCTGGGCTTGGTTAGACAGCCTTGAGCCTTATTCCAAAATAAACCAGACTGCCCTATTTCTCAAGTACAATTCCAGAATGATTTCTGACAAAATGAAATAAAGAATGCCAGGAGTTTATTTTGCTGTGGCTAACTCCCACTTGAGGGCCGATGTTAAAAGGAAAATTGAGCAGTTAAAACCCAGGCACAAACCAACCCAAGGAGTGGGAGTTGGAGGGAGTCATCCTTACATCAGATGAGAAGCAAAGCGAAGTGTTTCTGGAATACATTCAGTCCATGCCAAAACAATATAATTACTAGGAGGGTTCTGTGTCTGCCCCAAGGCTTTGCCCCACAAGATGAATGGTGGGTAAAAATAGAGATGAACAAGGCAAGTCCCCATGATGAACACTCAGTAACTGTTGTACCGTAACTTTCCCAGGGATAAGGTTTTCAAGGTGTTATCAGAATTTTGCTTCCTTGGCTATGGGCCAAGAACGGATGGATTTATCTAGATGCTATGTTTTCTGGTGGTAGTTGGGAAGCTACAGCTGTGTTTCTTGGTCAGGCATGGAACATCCATAACCTTCAATTCCACATCCCGGGCCTCTCCTAAGGGTGTGGCTATGTGCCTTTTCATTGGTTCTGACTCAGAGCAACCCTGCGTAAAACAGGACCGAGCTCTTCCCAGGTCCGCACAAATCTCACCAAGGTTGCTATGTTTGAGACTATTACTGCAGGCTCAGTGTCAATCCATCTCATTGACAACCTTCCCCTTTTGCAACGAACCTATAGTTTCCATTCCATCTCTTTCCACTGATGTAGTCTAGTTGATTCCTATGTATTCCATCCTGAGGTATAGCTATATCTAGTCATCATTCATGCTGCTGAAAAAGACATTTCCAATGAGTTGGTCATCAAAAATTCTATTGAGCCATTTCCAGCATCCCCAAAGCCATATTTTTCAACTACACGTCCTTCTATTTCCAACTTTTGCATTCCAATCACAATTATAAATGCATCTTAAGAGCCTGTTTGATCCATTTAAAATCTCCAACTTCTTCATCTTGGCATTAGTAGATGGTGTTACGTTTCAATACTAATAATAACTGGTCCTCCTTATATGCATATGGATTTTAAAAATCATTTTATTAGGGGCTTATACAACTGTTATCACAATCCATACATACATCAATTGTGTAAAGCACATTTGT